ATTCCTACTGCTGGCAGGAGCGTCCTACATTTTATTACTGTATGTGAAACCATTCGACATTTCAGGCTCGGGCAGACATCAGATTGTAATATGACGTTGTTTTTGGAAGTGGAGGGGTGGTTTAATGGACGGTTTATACGTCATCTCTTAACTCACCGAGATCAGAGGCATGTCTCTCCGCTCTTCCAGTGGGTTTTGGGGTGTCCGCCTTGTTCGGTCACCTCCCTTTCTCCTGCTGGCAAACTGCGTTGGGCCTTTAAATGACAGTAAATGTACTGAGTGTGTGTGACGCGACTCTTAGCTGCGTGCTATAAAAAGTCATGACACAGACGGCATTAGGTTAGCAAATCAGTGGAGATCAGTACGTCGCCTGTACACGCTGAGCTTGGAGAGTCGGCATTCCATAATATACAATGTATCAGTAAGGGGAATACCACGATAGAATGCCGAGGGAGAGACTCGTGATCAGGACAGTCGTGAGGAACAGGAGGAGAGAGAGAAGGATCAGACATGGAAGCAGTAAATAGGGAGAGAGGAGAAAGACAGGAAAGTGATTGATAGCTTATAGAAAATTCCCTGTCTCTTTAGAGCATGTGTTGCTGTGTACTGTAGGGGTGGGATGTATATATTTATGAGTGCTTGTTGCACTTGTCAGAGAAAATCAGGTTAGAAAGAATAGTACTTACCCACTTACAGCAGTGAGTGCGGGGTGATTTGTTGTTATCAGAGGTACATTTTGCTGATCTGTGCAGGGAGCGTGTCATTGTTACCAGGCAGACAGAGGCAGTCTGGTACTGTGTAGGAACATTTTAACACAGATCTACAGTTTGGCAATTATTTGGCTCTTATAATGGTCCTTTAACTAGTGTTGCCATAAGTGCCCCATTCTTTAAAGGGACACCCGTGCACCAAAACAATAAGTTAATGAAGTTGTTTTGGTGTATAGAACAAGCCCCATGCAGTCTCATTGCTCAAATCTCTGTTATTTATGCGTTAAAGGGAAACTAAATCTTCATGAAGTGGTCTGGGTGCACTGTACGTGTCCCCTTAACATTGCAATGTAAGACAGTGGAGTTTCCAAGAAACTACAATCTTTATATTGCAGGATTATGACTGCAATTCTTGCAGCATGAGGACATCCCACGTTTTGCAAAACCCCATAGAAAAGCATTGTTTTAATGCTTTCTTATAAGGAAGGTCTTTGGGCTTGCTGTGCATGTGCATTAGGTTCTCTCCTTGCGATGATGTTGGAGGAGGCGGAGACTGAGCCAGCGCTGAGGGACTATGATGCTGGAATCACGCAACTGTTTAAAAGGTTTTGTTTTTTTTTTTATCACTTTTGCTGCTGGGAAGGGTAACAGGGGTAGAAGGAAGCTATAGTGTTTGGAATACAGCATTTTCTACTCCTTACACTATAGTGTTCTTTATATCACTTTGTTTATACAACCCTAGCCACACCTTCCCTGGCTGCTACTCTGACCAGGCATTCCAACTTCACTAGGACAGTCCCCAATTTAAGAAATCCAGGGGAGGTTGTACAAGTCACTAAACACTTCAACTAAGGTGCTGCCAGGTAGGGAAGGCGAGACCCCAGGACCATACGTAAAGCAATTCATTCACCTGGGGAAAAGACTCTGTTGGGCATGTCGGTTTTCGGTGATCCTTCAATATTGATAGTTATGGCTCGCTTCAGGTATGATGTGGACCTTTACCGACAAAAGGTCGCTCCGGGTCATTCTAAGCTTAGTGTGTCTTTATGCAATCTATAGCTGTATACGGAGCAGACCCTTCCGTTCCCAAATTACTTATAAATACTGTTTTCCTTAACCATTCTAGATGATAACTTGACTATCACTAAAATAATCCAGTGTCTGAAGACCCAAAAGGCACTGTAATAATATTGTAATAAATGAAACAATGACTCAAATAAATATAAGATAAAAGTGTATTGAATGAATGTTACAGAATGCAAAAATAGTCAGTAAATAATTAATCTTACCAAATGTATTAGTGGCTACAGCATATGTCCCTGTATACCTTTCAGATGTGTGGTGACAGCAGGCAGAGTAAGAGTAGATGGATGAATGAATGAATGGTGAATGAATGACAACGTCACACTCTTTCTCCTTCAGTTAAATAGCCATTTTGTCCTCCATAAAGCAGCCCCCACCTGTGTAATACTCCCAAAAAAGGTATTCTAACTTGTTGCAAGATGTAATGTATTGAATAGCTAAGTTTGGGCTATACCCTAGATGGCTCTGCCTATAGTTAGCTTCAAAATTAAGTGAAGTGTTTTGTATACATTTGACTGACAACACATGTGTTTGTTCTAATTTAACTTCAACCTTTTAGCTGTTAACCTTGTGGAAATGTCATTGAAAATTTAACTTTTTCAAATCTAAGCAAAAAGGCCTGCAATATTTCATACACCTATGTTATACAGCTAAATGTACATTCATATTAGATATATATATATGCACCATACCATATAATACATATATATATTGCAAACTACACATTAAATAATGATCAACACTCCACAGGGCATCCTTTGTCTCCTATCAAGTGCAGGCAGCTGGTGCATGCTGGGATCAGTGAGATCCCAGAATGCGCCCGCCTGCCAGCTTTCCCAGCACCTTCTAAAAACTGACAAATGATTTTAGTAATTGCGTGTTTTTAAATGGTACAAGTGAAACTGGCAATAACAATCACAGATCATCCAGCAGTGAGAGTGACTGCATTTCTCAACTACTGCCTGAAAGATGGCAGCCAATGTTAAAAAGGGTCGTCTCTCTCACGGTTAGCACTAACTGACAGAAAAAAAAGTTCAAGTGTTAAGAAACATATTTTTTTTAAATGATTAAAAGGACACCATAGTCACCAGAGCAACTAGTGCATTATATATATATATAGATATATTATTTAATTTTATTCTCTTTGCTAGGGTTTTTGGTGTCTCCAGAATTTTGTATGTTTTTTCCAAATAATGGTAGGGATGCCATACCCACCATGTTTTACAGGACACCTATAATTTATACAAACCGGTGGGCATCAAACGGAGATTGCTCTGCTGTATCATGTAGAAATCAAATGCAGCAGATAGTGATTCAGGAAATGCATATAAATTATACAAACTAAAGGCCTGCATTTTGATGTGCTGTCAGTCAACATAGAGAAATTATGTGTTTCCAGAAAAACATGGTGGTTCTGGCACCCCTAGGTAATGTAAATGTGCGAAAATCCATCATCTGGAAAGGTCCTCAATAAACACAAACTGTAGGCAAGTATCTTAGAATTGTTCTTGGAAACTGAAATTTGTGAGATAAAAAGACATACAGACAACTCCGCACTGTATGGAATTTAATGATTGAATGAATAAACTTGGTGAAATTGGTTAAACTGAATGAAATTAATATCTAGCGGACAATATCTTTTCCTTTGCCCATTCACAAGAAAGGTAGTAGGGAGGAGTCGGTCAACTATAGGCCAGTAAGCCTTACTTCAGTAGTGGGTAAAGTGATGGAAACCATGTTAAAGGATAGGATTGTTGAACATCTAAAAACACATGGATTTCAAGATCAGAGACAACATGGGTTTACTTCAGGCAGATCATGCCAAACTAATCTTATTGATTGGGTAGATCTGCAGATCCAATAAAACTGCCTTGAAGATATCACAGTGTTTGCCTGAGATTTTTTTTCATTTAAATAGATTGTAAAACTTTTTGTGTAAACAAAATCAATTGCCACCAATTTAATAGGGACTAATGAAAGTATTTTAAAAATTGGGCAGACAAGATGGGCCGAATGGTTCTTATCTGCTGTCACATTCTATGTTTCTGTGTAAATGTGCAAAATTCCATCAAGTGGAAAGGTCCTAAATAAAACACTGAACTGTAGGAAAGTAACTTTTAAGTAAGAATTGCTCTTGGGAACTGAAAACGATTTGTGAGATAAAAAGTCACACAGACAACTCAGCACCATATGGAATTCAATGATTTAATGAATAAACTTGATGAAATTGGTTGAATTAAATTGATATCTGGCATAGAGATGTTATTCGATGCTCTGGATCCATCACTGTTTGTGTCGCTTGTTTTGAGTAGTAAACAGGGCTAGAGCACCAACAGCCAGAACAGCAGCACCGCCAACTGCTGTGTACATCTTGGCATTATCCACCTGTTGTGAAAGAAGATATTTTATTATCAGCTATTACCATACATGACAATGCTTCATAAGCAGCAACATATGAAAATACCATCGCCAATATACATTTGTAAACTGAAAATTTCAAGCATATAAAAATATATATTCATTAGCAGCCTGAAACACAGAATTCCACTGTGAGAATAATGGGTAGAAAAGATCACTGCCAAACTAGAATGCATTGGAAACAAGGAATCCATCCTACAGATTACAGGGTGCAGAGGGCCCATGTGGAATGCATAAGGGTAGATATAGGCCCCTCTTATGTGCAATGAGAATAGAAACGTTCGAGCCCTCTTAGTTGTTTAATCAGGGCACATATCAGACACAGAATGGTATAGTATCTACAGT